TTCTTAGCACAGTGTGTCCGTATCTTATCAGAACAGGCACGCTTTTCCCACGGCCTGGCCGCGCTCCAGCAGCGCCGAAGCAGACTTGTTGGAAGCCCAGTTTGAATGGGAGAAGTAATCTTTCTGAATGGATTTTCTGGCAGGATTCCTGTTGCGTGTGTGGTTTATTGTTCTTGGTGATGGGACTGCATTTTATTCCCTAGATAAATGGTTTGGGGTCTGTATTATTTTTTTGGTGATGGGAGGGGTTCTGGAAAAATAATCAGATCGCTCGTTCTGTAAAATTCTATAGGAGAACTTTTTTTCTGTTTTAACTACTTTTCCGTGTTAATTGTGTAGCTTTTTGAGCCTGCTTTTGATGTAAAGGACAGCAGCTGATTTACCTCAACTCTTAAACCTTCCTATGGTCAAAGGGCTTAATAATTAAAAAGCAAACAACTTTCTTTTCTTCAATGCGTTTTAACAAAGTGTTATGGCAATTAGTTAATTTTTATATATATATATATATGTATTTTTCTATTCACAGTGTAGTAGTTCCCTAATAAGTGTCACTGATGGTGTCAGAAATAAAAGTGTTTGCCAATGGTGGCATGTCCTTGGTTGGTGTAAATGCCCACTGCGGGTACGGTTGTGACACTGGTGAAGTCAGAGCCGATCCCTCTGTGTGCCCCGGGCCTGCTGTGGAGCTGTGCCAGCTGCTGCCGGCCTCTAATATGTATTACAGGACGGCTGACATGGTGTTGAACCACGCTGTAACCACAAGATACAAAGATGTTCTATTTTAGCACTGCCGGGGCGAAAAAAACAACTGCTAATTCTGAAGCCTGACGCGCAAAAGGTTGCGAAGTGAGGGAAGGAGGCAGAAAAAACCTGCTCATGTTTTGAGTTAACATGTGTACAGACAAATTCTCACGTCTCAAGGCTAAGTTTTGCTGAAGAAAGGTCTTTAAGACTTGGGTCTTTGTAATTAAAGCATAAAGAATAATTATCTTGAACTTACATCTGCAGAGGAAGAACTGTGTATTTACTTATTATCTGCCGAAAAAATCTTTCTCTTTTTAGCTCGAAACAATGATTAACAAAAAGGCATTGAAGTGTAAAGGCCTTCTTTTTATTTAAATATATATACACTTAGTGAACAGATTCAAAAGAGAACAGTCACAACCATTTTATTTTTTTTCTTTCTTTCTTTTTCAAAGTGGGTGTGAGGGGGAAGCATGCAACTCCAAACTTAGTGCCTACAATGCTTGGAAGACATTATGATTAATTTCGTACTTAGGTTTCCAGATGTTGGATTTTGTCCCAACTTTTAAAGACCTCTAATGTTTAACAGGATATGTGCTGAGTATAGTCTTTAACAGAGTTTTCTTTCATAACTCTAGGATCTATGAGAAAAGGTAACTCGGGAAAACACTGCAGATCCGGAGCTGAATCTACAGCCTTCTAGGAAAAAAAGAACAAACAAACATTGAATGTGCAAGTTTGGGCTGGAGCTGTATTTGTTTGGGAAGACTATGGATAGGTCCCAGAGCTGGCAGCAGAGCTGTTTGAACACCATCCTCCTTGTGCTGCTGTGGACTGGCGTTTCCCGCGCGCAGAGGGACTGCACGGGCGCGGAGTGCCAGCCCCTGGACAACTGCATCGAGGACGTGCTGGAGCCTGGCGAGTGCTGTGCCACGTGTCTGCAGCACGGCTGCACGTGCGAGGGCTACCAGTACTACGACTGCGTCAACGTGGGTTTTATCAACGGCAAAGTACCCGAGGGGCAGTCTTACTTTGTGGACTTTGGAAGCACTGAGTGCTCGTGCCCCAAGGGAGGAGGCAAGATCAGCTGCCAGTTCATGCTGTGCCCGGAGCTGCCCCCAAACTGCATTGACGCGGTGGTGCCAGCTGACGGGTGTCCTCAATGTGGGAGAATAGGTTGTCTCCACGAGGGCCAGAAGTACGTAGCGGGGCACACCTTCCACATGCCCCCCTGCAAGGTTTGCCATTGCCCAAACGCTGGGGGTGAGCTGATGTGCTACCAGCTTCCGGAATGTAACACGTTCCCCTTAAACACTGCGAGCCCAATCGATGCTGAGGACAGCGAACCAGAGAGGCACTACGACGATCCGTACAGCTACGACCAGGAGGCACCAGAAGGAGACAACACCCAGGTGGAGTCTCCAAAAAAATACAGGAGTTACTCATCCCACCTCGAGCAAGAGAGCATCAGCCAAGAGCAGAGCGAGGATTATGACTACCTGCCAGCCAGCATTGCTCCTTCTGCTGTGGTTCCGTCCGATCCGTACACCGAGGAAACGGCTGCGCCGCTCACCACGCCAGCGCCTCGCGTCCCCTCTGAAGTTCGCAGTGGCACGGAAGGAAGTGAGCGAAGGAGGGTACCCCGCACCACCGCAGCATCCCTCCAGCAAACGACACGGAAGGAAGCGCCAGTAACTACCAGTGCTCCTCCAGAGCACACAACGGCCACCACTGAGACACTCAAGCACCTGGAGGAGTTGGAGAGGAGACCAAAGGGGAAGCAAGGGGACAAACAGAGGCATGAGCAAGAAAGAGCCCCCCACTCTAAAATGAAAAAGCATGCCAGAAAAGAAGACCCAGGGAGCAGCATGCATCTAGACTTGAAAGAGGTGAACTTAACAGAGCCGAGTTGGTCACAACCTTCCCCTGCAACGCACGAGGGAAATGCTTTCCCCAAGGTGAAGTTCAGTGCGACGACCTCTCCACCGGTCGCTCTAAAGGAAGACCGTAGTCAGTCATCCCAAAAGCAGTCCCAGACGCTTTATCGCTACCACCCCGAGGAAGACGGGGACCCCAACTCCATTCACGCTAACCCCAGGTTGCCAGAAGGTAAGAACTACTTCCACTGTAGATGTCTAGAGAACATTTACTCGTAGTGACGTTGGTGCATGTCCACTCTTCTCTTCTTCTTACTGCCCGACGTGGGCGTGAAATCAGGCAAACCTCCCGTTACCTTCTTTCATCTCTTTCAGAAGATGGTTTGTGTTTCACTTGACCATTGGTGTTGTGTTTCATTGACCAATAGGTACCAATAGGTACCATTTCTCTATTGCCTACCTTGCTTTGATTTCGCAGACTGTGGATGGTGTTTTCTGGTATTTTGACTTTATTTCAGATTATGATCTGTTAAAATCCGACCTTTTCCTTCCATTGCTTGCTCTTAATTTCTAATATGATGTTAGAGAAACAGCTCACTCTCTGCAGAAGGAATTGGATTTCATTAGTTATCTGCTTGGATCCTCCAGCTACCGACTGAATGTAATCACTTTGGTAGCTTTTGCCTTTTGTTGGAGGAGGAAGTGACACAGTTGTACTTCTGCTACGAAAATATTTACAGCACTTGTTGTAATATTTATCCCGTGGTTGAAAGGCTGTCTAAGCTCGTTAGTACGAGAGTTTGATAGATACACTCAAATACCCTGAGGACTAGTAGGGAGAAAAGAGACTGTCTCTTGCTTTTGTTTGTGTTTTTTGGGGGCTGGAAGTTTATGATGTTTGTGATCAACTGTGGCAAGTGTACGTATTTCCTCTCTGCCTCTGGATTCCTCTTGACATCTGCAGTGAATGTTGATTATACGCTTTATGCCGCGCTCATTACGGTAATGAATGCGAACTTCATCGCTATAAATTAGCACATATACAGCTCATCTTTCCAATTCATTTTTCATCAAATCAAGAGTAATATCTCCTTTTTCAAGATGTGGCACAAAATGTTCTCATGAGACTCGGATGTCTGATACTTGCAGTCTGAGTAGAGAATACTGATTACTCCCCAGACAGGGATGTTTCTTCCTGGGTTATCTAAGTAGCCTTAAACATCTTGAACTGCCCAGTCCATCTACTCAAGAAGTTTAAGGGTGGTAGGAGGGGAGCAGATTTGGAGCTGAGACTCCAAATCCCAACACAGACAGCACCTCATGACAGTTTACCAAACAAAAGATGTAGGAGGTTCATGAATGGAGATGTGCTCTAAGTCTTACCTCTGCGCTACCTTCTCTTCACAGACGTCTGTTTTATTTTACTTCTAGCTCCGTTGGCTATGTGAAACATGGATCAGACAGAGGTGACTGGCTGGTTATCATAGGGGAGGGTGAACAGATTCCAGCCTTCCAGTTTGCGTAACCCGAATGAGAGATCTGTCCAGAGCACCTTCCTCTGCTCTGTGCAAATGCAAGTGGCAGAAAGCACCATGGTGCACTGGGTTCATCTGCATGTATTACCATGCAGCTTAAGCACAAAAGCTCTTCCCACAAATCTGATCTGAGCTCTGCATCGAGGCTGTGCGTAATACACGGGTCTGAGTTAGGGCTAACAGGGAATACCTTGCCTTCTGATGTAACTTAAAAACAATCTTTTTAAAATTAAATCGTTGTTGGTTTTTTTTCTCTCAAAAAGGAGAGATGGGTGGACCATCCTGAGATTTTCAATGAGAGGGTTTAAGGCAGCCTGTTGAGGTGAAAGCTTTAGAAACACTTTAGAGTCTCCCTGGGTGATTTCCAGTCTGTGATTCCTGGGAGCTGCTTGGCTAAGACAGGTCTAGTCGGGGTGCCTGTTGGATAGGAGCAAAATGTGGTGGATGACATGTCAGGCGTGAATTGTCTAGCCTAGAGAAGCAGGCTTGGAGATCACCGGATGCTGGTTTTGCCTTAGCTGATATATATCTCTCCCTCTCCTTTGAATATTGTAGCAGAAGAAATGAGAATAAACAGCTCTTGAGAGCATAGTGCTCTCTGGGGTAGACAGTGCAGCTCCGAGGCTGCCGGTGCTGTTTGGCCCACAGAGCTGCTCCGTGTCCTGGGAGCGAGCGCTGGTCTCCCTGCACCTCACTGGTAAGCGGGACCTGACCAGGCAGCCCCTGTTCCCCATCGGCTCCACCATTCCCGTTAGGAATAGCTGGTGGAAGCAGATCTGTACAGGCTGTAAAGGAGCTGCAGAACCTTCTCCAGAAATCAGGACTCTGCCTTGACATGGCCAGCGCCCGCCCTCGTGCCTGGGGACTGCTGTTTTCACGTGTTTTAATTGATGTGGCTGTGACTCATGTGAGTAGATCCATATGTTTCGAGTAATAAACCACATACATCTTCTGTCTCTTTGGTGACTCCTGAGCCAATGATCGAGGACGAGTGATGATATTAGTCAGACTTGAAAGAAAAATTAATTTCGCCTTCAGATATAGAATGAAAACATTAATTTTGTACACGTATTTCTAACTATAAAGTGGCATAGTCTACCAGAATTGCCAAATAACTTCCTTCCTCCACTCAAGAATCAGCAGCATGATGTAAACTGCGTCAATCCCCTCGTTTTTAAAACCTGTGAGGTCGTTTCGCTGTTTGCTGCGGGGCCTGCTGCTCTCGCAGCGGGGCGATGCCACCCCGCGGGGTGCAGCTGGGCACGCGGGCGGCCCCAAGGCAGGGCTCGGGTCCTGTCCAGCTCTTCGGGGTGCAGCATTGTGGTTATTAACATTTCATCGTAATTGCTAAATTTATTTAGGTTCCTGAGTCACCGAGAGATAAATTTTTGTGACTGCTGGGACATTGTAGATTTTTTTTTTTCTTTCTGTTTCTCCAGAGTTTAGAAAAGTATAGGAGGCTTCATAGCTTCACAGAAACGTTTGCTGCCACTAAAAACTCAGCCCCAGTTAGGTGGCTATTGCATTTGTTCTTCCTATTAGGTGTATCCTGGCACCAGAACTCAGCTGTGGTTGGATCCCTGATACCTTTGGTTAAAAATTTGGCTTCATTACTTGTATCTTATGTATCTCACTTTGGTTTTATGTCTAGCTGAGTTTTCATCTCCCAACTCTCTGGTGCCTCATATGTAATCTAATGGTGGAAACAACGTGGAGTACGTTGGTGCTCAGGAGAGGTTCATTTTGTGTTTCGATTCTCTCTCTCCTTTTGCTCTTTGTTTTCCATCTGTGTTTCAGTACGACCGTGAGGTCGGCACACGCCGCTTCCCTTCTCGCCGCGGCACGGGTCCGTCTCCAGGAGAGCTGCTGTCCCGGCGAGGCTGCCCTGGGCTGTGTGCTGAGCTCTGCCCGGCCTGGGGAGGGAAATAACTCTGCATCTGAAAAGCTGCTGTTGTTGGACAGAGCATGTACAAGGAGGTGTAATATTGCACTGTATTCCACGTCAGCCGGTTTTGATCTGGTTAGCATCTTCGCTCACGGACTCCCGTGAATTGCCATTTATTTGGGGAATTTTTTCCCCCGTTGGCTGCACTGAGCTTTTCTGGACCAGCCGTTTTGCTGATTCCCTGGGTGCTGTGCGAGGCCAGGCCCTCGCTGGTGGCTCTGCAGGGCTGCAGCAGCACTCACGGGCCCCGGGGAGGATGCAGGTGCTGCTGCCACTGCAGAAATGGGCCCTGCTGCAAACCCCAGTGCCTTCGAGGAGCTGGTTTCTCTGTTGGCCAGGTGGGAAGCGCAGCAGCAG